GTAGGAGGAGTAATGTCCAACAGGGATGGCAACAGGTGGTGCGGGACTGAGCACTAAAGCTGTCAGGTGATGGGATGACCCTCAGGACGTGAGGAGGGGCTGAGACGTCTGTGCCCAGCTGGCTCCTTTATGCCTCAGGGGGAGGGAGACAGCACACTCTCCTCCTCAGCATGGTGGGCACTGTCACCAATATGTAATTGGTCATTTTCATCCAACAACCAGGCCCTGCCCTTGGGCTGGAGAACTGTCCACTCAGACAGGCAGTGGGATGGGAGGGAAACAGCTAAGGGTAGGCCACAGAGTCAGACCAGTGCTGGCCCTACCCAGGGGGCACCCCATGCCCACGGTAGCCCACTCCCTGCCCCCTCATTCCTTTCTGTCTGGGAGAAACCTATTCTACCTTCCGAGGCCACCACTCCGACTCTGCAGGCCCCACTGTGACCAAGTCCCCCTCTCTTGCTGCCCTGCCTGCCTCCCCACCTTCATACCCCTCATGGAGGCATGGCTGAGCACATGTGTGACATCATGCCACAGGAGTGTCCCTTGTGGAGTCGTCGCCTGGCACATGTCTGGAATAGGCGTGGCTCTGCAGGCAGCTGTGTATGCAGGACTTCCCGGCAGGGAGTGGCGCAACCTGGGGGCCGCTGTGGTGCTGCCCACCTGTACCGATGCCTCCGCAAAAGTCACCAGACTCAGCCTCCCAAGTGCATCCAGTGAGCTGACTGCCTGAGACCTGGTGGGATGCCCCGAGAGGTGGGAAGGAAGCAGCACCTGGCAAGGTAAATGCACCTGTGCTTCATCGTATAAAATCCTGCTTCTATTTCTCAGCTACAGGGCCGGGGCGTTACTATAGAGAGCAGAGAGTGTGGGGACCACTGCCACCTCACTGGCACAGGCTCTGCTTCCTGAGTGATGTGCTTTCTGGTGAGGACAGGGGGCAAGAGAATGTCTCTGTGCCTCAATATGAGGAGGGCTACTTGGAGCACCCAGGTATCCCCATGTTGGGGACACAAGTGAGTCAGACCCTCAGCCTGACCTCGAGCGGAGGGCAAGTCCTGATATCCCTTCCAGGGAGAGGGCACACATGGTCTCAGATGGGGTGAGAGACCCTTAGAGACTGGGAATGCTTGCCAGCTGTGGGGGAGACTGTGTGGGGATTTGAAGGCTAAGAAGGAATCCTCTGGGAATATGATGGATGGGAGAAGGGCTTTGTAGAAGGTGTGACACTGGCAGAGCTCTCTTCTTGCCCTTCATCATCGTCGTCGTCATCATCATCATCTTATCTCATTGCTGTCAAGTTGAAACTGACTCACAGCTGTCCTTCCACTGGGCTTCTAAGACTATAAATCCCTTGGGGAAAGGTAACTCATCTTTCTCCCTCAGAGCCGCTGGTGGATTCGAACCGGCAGAGACGTCAGCCTCTGGGTTAATGACTCCCTAGGGCTATGCCCCCAGATCACCCTTTCCTGCTTCCTTAGCTGCTGGAAACCTGGTAGCTAAAAGCTTATGGCACTGACACCTTTTCTCAAATTTGAGGCTCTTTTTAAAATCTATCTCTTGACTTTGCTCAGAAGGCAAAGCCCTCCCAGACTCTCTGCTATCTAGGGTGGGTTGGCAGCTGGGGGTGGGGTAGCGGGGAGGAGTGGGATATAAGAAGGATGGTCTCCTGGGAGCTGTCCCCTCACTTTGACCCAGATCCAAGGCCCAGGTGCATTCAGGTGAATTCAGAACCACTGGCCAGGGTGCTGAAATGCAGCTGGGGCCTCCTTGTGGGAACAGAGTCCACTGACTCTGGTGTGGACGCTGCTGAAGGTTCCCCAGTCAGCAGGACAGTGTCCAGGGAACAATGATTTTTTGCCTCTGAGGACAGCCAGAACTGACTTCTCTCCTTGAGTCCCCAACTTCCAAGCAGGGGTCCTGAGCTTGCTACAACCAAAGGCTACATTTCAGCTCAAAGGTGAAGACACGGGGCACAGATGGGCACAAGGATTCTCCCCAGGCAGACCCGGGTTTGCATCCTGGCCTAGCCACGAGCTGGGCAAACCTTGGGCAGCTTACATGGCTTCTCTGAGCCTCAGTGTCCACTTTGGTCATAATACCTGATAGGGCTAACAAGGTGCAAACATTTAACACACTTGGCTCTGATGGAAAGGCTGGAGGTTTGAAAGCACCCAGAGGCTCCTTGGAAGACACAGCTGATAATCTGTTTCTGGGAGACCAGCCACTGAAAGCTCAAGGGGGCTTGCTCTGCCCCGACACACTATGAGGGTGCACAGAGTTGCTAAGGGGGGAATCAACTCAACAGCAAGTGGCTCATTAGGATGACTGTGAGGGAGAGGTGCGCAGGGTATGAGCAGCCTCTCCAGAGCCACCCTGCGTCCATCACAGACTGCTCAAGCCCAAGCTCTTTACCCAATGGGATCAGAGGCTGAGGTCAGCCTGGACGTAGATGCATGGCCCATGACCCTCCAGGCAAGCAAGGGCCCCCGGGCACACAGTGAGTGTCTGCGAGGACAGGAGGAGTGCCAGGCTGTCTACAGGTCTGAACACGGGGCAGGCCAAGCCACCAGGTTCCCCTGGGCCGGCTGGGGCAGAGCCAGAACCTCCCATCACCAGGCCACATGCTCTGTCTGTGCCTGGAGCTGGGGGCAGTCAGACATCATGGCCAAACCCAGGGCTCGGGCAGCCCATACAATTCATTATGCACTTGGATGGCGAATTGCTTTATGGCTTCATAAATATGGAGCCTCTGCCGCCCCATTAGGCTGTGCTAGACCACAGTTGGTGGGGAATGTCATTGTCTGTGAAGACAAAAAGGCTTACTCCAGACACAGGAACACCACAGCTAGGAGGTGGCCACGAGACTAGTAGGGCCGAGGACGACAGTGAAAACAAGCACATGAATTGTCATCCACAGGTTGAACATCTGTGTGGGCCTCAGGTAGGGGCACAGGAACCCAGGAACCTAGGGTGAGGGGCTGTGAGGAGGGCACTGAACCCGGGAGATGGGGACAGGAGAAAGCACCCAGGATTTAGGGATTGAGGCGGCCTGGACACCCCAGCAGTGGGGAACGTGGGGGTACAGACCCTGCTGAGCTCCTGCTGTGCACTCCAAGTCACAGTTTTAGGGGGCTTGAGTGGGGGCTGCCTCACTTGGGCACAGGCCAGATCAGGGAGAGAGGCTGCTCTGAGGGAGCACTGACGATTATCTCCCTGTCTGTGCCCACCTGGGCCTCTCCCCCATATTCTGCACTCCCACCTCCCCTGGCCCATCAGTAAGCTCTTAGCCCCTGGGCTCATGGCTCAGGGTCACATGGCAGTGACCAGCTCAGCCAGGGCCAGCCCTCTGCGTTCAGGAATGTTTGCGGAATGGAGAAGCGGAGGCTCAGTGTGGCAGCAGCGGGGCTAGGCCGGGGCCCCAGGTCTGTGGGCTCTTGGTTCCAAGCCACCTGGGTGCCTCGATGCCACATGGCCCACACTGTCTCCCAGGACCACCTGTATCCTCTGCAGTCACCTCCGACCCTGGCCCCATGCCCACATCTGTGGCTACTTCAGGGTCAGGGGCCACACAGAGTCTGGACCGGGCAGGCTTGGTGTGGTCGTCAGATCAATATTAATCACTCCCTTTCAGCCTCTGCAGGGTCTTGGTTTGGACAGTGAATTGTACAATTACCACACCAGCCATTCCAACTGACAATGAACAAGGACACTCTTACCGACCAATGACTGTGAGTAAGAAGGCACAGATGATGGGAACAGCAGGGAGGGAGCTCGTCCTGGGGAACAACATGAAGCCACAGAAATGGAGCCCCGCTCACTTGACCACTGGAAGGTGGGGAATTACCTTCTAGAAATTACCCCTGAGGCGCAAGGATCGCAAAGCTTGTCTCACATACTTTGGGCGGTCAGAAGCGGTCAGTCCTTGGGAAAAGACATCCATCATGCTGGGAAACGCAGAGGGCTGATTGCTCTGTTCTTTTGAATCCTACTAATACCGGAGGCTAACAAATACAATGGACGGTCAGAGCAAGAGGAACCACCACCACGTGAAAAACTTTCAAAACCTCATTGCGTTCAAGTCAGAATCAACCCTTAGATGACCCTCCAGCAGGATTCTGAGGCTGTAAATCATAGGAGAGGAGACTGCGCATCTTTTCCTCCTCACAGGGCTGGTGGATTCGAACTGCCAGACAGGCCCAGTCTTCGGGTCTAGTCAATAGACCACTTAAGCCCCATGGGGCCTGATGTAACCAAGTCCCGTGGTGAATCTATAAGAGCAATGAGCCCCCAGGCTCAGGCAGAGCTTCCTAGCTGGGGAGTAATGCATGGGAGAGAGGGGCACATCCCTCTCTGAAACATACAAGCTCAGACCTCACTCTACATGCCTCTTTGTTTATATCATTTTTGTTATTGTTGTTGTTACACTCGAGTTGGAACCATAGCTGACCCAGTGGGTTTTCAGAGGCAGTAAACTGCATGGGAGGAGACTGTCCATCTTTCTCCTGCAGCAGCTGGTGGATTCAAACCATGTACCCTCTGCATTGGCAGCTCAAGTCCTTACCACTAAGCCACCATAAATCTATAGTAAGTATGGTACGTTCTGCATGAATTCTGTTTACCATTCTAGAGAATGAACAAACCTGCAGGCGCGCTGGGAGCTGGCACAGATGCCACACTGGCTGTTCTGCCATCTGAAAGGAGGCTCCCCTCTAATGTGTGAGCTCAGCCCCAGCTCTGGGTGGCAGGGCTGCGAGAGTGCCACATGAGTGGCTCGTGACAGGGACAGAAAAGTGGGCAGTGGAGAACGGGCACCATCCTTGCACTCTGAGAATCAGATTCCTGGTGACCTTTGACCTCACTGTTAGAGTGGGGTGCGTGCACTGTGCCCTTTGGGAGGGCAGCCACCCAGACAGGGCTTAGATAAGGGTACCCAGACTTCACCATGGTGCTGTGACCGGGAGCCCCAGTGCCAGGATAACAGCTAGGGCGGGGCCACTTACATTGATCATAGCATTTGACGTGATGCGGAAAAGCGTGGCGCGCTCGTTCACCACCTTGAGCTTCTCGCTGCTCTCCGGAGGGATCTTGAGGCCGTCCAGCTCGTTCAGCGAGCGCTGGAGGGCAGCGCCATGCTTGGCCAGCAGGTCATTGCAGGTGCTCAGGTCGTCTAACTTCAAGGAGAGGTTCTTGATGGTGTTGGGGAGCTCGGTCTTGTCAGACGGGGAGGCACTTTCGTCGTCGTCGTCCCCTGAATCATCTGCGGAGAGGAACAGAGTGGCTGCGGGTTATCTCTGAGCCTGCACAGAGCAGAGCGTTCCCTGGATGCTGCCAGCTCCTGTCCCAGCCCCCAGCTGGTCATCCAGGCTGCTGGCTTTCCTTCCTTCAGGCAAAGCAAGTCAGCTTGTCAGCTACCACATTCCAGGCTAGGGGTGGGGTCTGGGGGGAACCTGCTTGAATGGCAGGGCTTTGGAGCTGTGTGTCAGCAGGCACCTGTCTGCCATGCACCAGTGCCCGTAAACTATACAATGTGGCCGAGGCTGCAGTGCACTGGGCGGACAGTCCACCCCACCCCACCAGAGCTCCGAATCAGGCCTGGGCTGCTTTCCTGGTGGCTTTGCAACCACTCTGGCGTACCCACACCTCCTCCCACCATCCCCACCATTCCCGCTGAGCTTCGCTCCCTGCACACGTGGAACACACTTGCTTTGGGGTTTTACCCCCATGTCCCTCCCCCCTAGAGCCTCCATACCCCTTCCCTCCATGCCCACAGGCACTCCCTCTCCCCAAGGTCTGCCCGGAGACCACCACCCTTCTGCTGTGGTGAAACACTCCTCCTACAAGGTCCCTCTCATTTACTGACAGCCCACTTCCTGTCTTTGAATTGTGCTGGAGAAGAGTACTGAGTGTCCCTGGGGTTGCCAAAGGACAAGCAAGTCTGTCTAGGAGAAGCACAAACAGGGTGCCCCTGAGGCGCAAGGGTCACAAAGCTTGTCTCACATATTCTGGCAGTCAGGAGTGGTCAGTCCTTGGGAAGAGACATCCATCATGCTGGGAAACGCAGAGGGCCAGAAGGGGAGAGGAAGACCTTTGATGAGAGAGACTGACGCAGTGACTGTGACAATGGCCTTAAGCACAGTGGAGCTTGTGGCGATGGCCCAGGGTAGAGCAAGTTCAGATCTGTTGTTCACAGCGCAGCTATGAGCTGCAGTCAGCGGCACCTAAGAACGTACAGACTCACAGCAATCTTTCTCCTACTGGGACTGTGCCATCCCCACAAATGAGGAAACTTAGGGTCAGAGGCGGGGAGGCACACATTCTAGGGGCGCGGTGAGGCCATCTACCGCTGAGCGTCATTTGAGGCTGTGGGTGCACCCACCATCCCTCGCCCCTCTCAGCAGCTGCCCAGCACCCTGGGGCACTCTGTCTCTGAAGACTGCCAAGGGACCCACAGAATGACCCCCATGCCCAGTGCTGCAGGTCTGAGTCCCCTGAGAACATTCTACAGTGGGAGGTGGGGGGTTCTGCTCCTGTCCAAACCACTGTGACCCCCAAATCTAGAAGTGCTAAAGTCTTTCCAATATACCTTGTGTCAGAAATTGGCACAAAACATTTTTAAAATAAAGAACATCTTTGTCTGTTACTCAAGATAGGAACTTTTTAAAGAATACAGCCTGTGAGGAGAGACTGGGTTTCTTCCCATAGCAGATAACGCCTGTGGGAGTGGACTTGCTGAGTTATGGTTCACTGGGCTGTGTAAGGGGGAGTGCCCACTGCATGCCCTGTTCCAGAGGACACTGCCAGCTGGGGGTGTGCGAGCCCCTTGTCCTCGGCCAACCCCCCTCCAGTCCTGTGTGGCTCAATGTTCAAGGTCACATGTGCTGGGCCAGGTCCCGGCACTCTGCTTCACGCAGGCTAACCTGAGCATCAGAGAGGCCAGCAGATAGCAGCCCTTGCTCTCTTCCACATGCTCCACAAGGTCAGGCCACCTGCCAGGGTTTCCTGCTGTTCCCAGATAGTAGGGGCACAAAAGCCGGGCATAACTGCTAGTTAGGTTTTCCCTTTCTTGGGCCACCATCCTCTCTGGGTCCCCTTCAGAGTCAGAATCAGATAAATGAGGCAAAAATGGGTGGAGAGAATGTTAGGGCAGATCCCAAGGAGATAAGGGAGGCCTCAGTCCTGATGTGAGGGGAAAGGCTGCCCATCTCCTAGGACCGACCTAATTAACGTTTTAGGCACATGAGCAAAGTCAAAGAACAGTGGACCAGAATAAGAACCACGCACTGAACCCCCATGACATCTCATTGGCCCATGAGCCTCCAACCCCAAGGAGGGACGCACCAGGAAACGATATATATGTCCTCACCTCAGGAGCATGTGGCCTCCATTACTGCCTTCCTGGGGAGGAAGGCTTGCCTCCTGTGATGTACCTTTTCTACGAGATCTATCCTTGCTTTGTGCCATCACTTCTGCCTCTTTGCCTTTCTTTTTGGCCTCCTGCTCTAAAAAATGGCCTCAGCCTACGTTCTCAGCCTAGCGTCCTTATGAGGCCTTGGCCTACATTCTCTGTCTAACCCTCCGATAAGGCTTCAGCCTACACTCCTGGCCTACATTCTCTGTCTAACCCTCCGATAAGGCTTCAGCCTACACTCCTGGCCTAGGGCCCCCATGAGGCCTCAGCCTACACTCCTGGCCTCCTGCTCTAACAAAAGCCTCAGCCTACACTCTCGACCCAGCACCCCGACAAGGCCTCAGCCTACACTGGAATTATTCTGAGAAATACCAGCAACAGTCTTCTAGGTCCCCTTTTAAGGTCACCCCACCACAGTGTACACTAAGAGCCTTCCTAAGAGCCACTGAAATTGCTGTACACTGTGCTACCTCGACAGGTTGGTCACCCTCCCCGCTCCAGTTCTAACTGTCTGGTCTAATTCTTTAGCCAGGTGAGGGGAGCAAACCAGGGCACTGATTTCACAGTAGCACTGTGAGGAACCCACTGCCAGTTAATGTGGACGATGACTGAGGGCAGCGTGGGGATCAGGCCGGGGAGCCAGCACACCTGAGTCAGTCAGTTTGGGCTCCAAGTTACAGCACCAGCCTTGCTCACAACATCCATGCTAGGATTATGTTTCCAAGGTCAACGTGCTCCACAGGTGGTCCTGACCAGGCTGAGGGGACAACGCTGTGTACCAGGAAGGCATGCTGGCTGCTGGTCAGTTGAGTGTGAGTCCCCGTGCATGACACGGGCACAGGGAGAAGTGGTGTAACTGAGCATCTTTGTGTGTGGGTCTGTGGGTGAGCGGAGGGCATCCACTCATCATCACTCCAACACGGATACCCACTTTATATAAGGAGCTCCCCAGGTCAGAGTTCAAGCCCAGAGGCAAGGGACATGGTTTTGCGTGTTCTACTCTCATGCTGTGTCATTAGGACAGTGTCTAGAGAGGGGGAAATGGCACACTGGGGCCCAGGGCCGTGAGCGTCTACTCTGAAAGGGCCAGAGGGAATGTCCCCTCACTCATTGCCCCAGAACAGAAAACAGAGTCTGCAGCTCAGCCCCACGGTGCCTATAGAGTCCTACCAACAGCAAGAGGTTAATTTCTTTGTTGTTGACTCACAGAATCCAAAATAAGTCTAGGTTTTAACCTAAGCACAAATGCAAGAAGCCTTAGGTCCCACCGTGCCTTTATTTGTCCATAGAAATGCCAGTCTCTCCATCAGGAGGGTCTTGCCACCACAAGCCTTGCTCACCTCAAGTCTTTCACACCTCAAGTCTTGCTGCTCAGTGTGGGAAGCACTCCTTCGCTTATCCTAGTCCCACAGCTGATGATGATTTGTAAGATCAAGATCAAGTGTCTATAGTTAAGGCAGCTGGAGACTAGAGGCTAAATGGCTAAAAAAAGCCAACTTTAAATTTAACACCACATGCAGGAAGAGGTTATCTTCTGGTTGACAATGACTGATGGGCAAAGTCTGTGCTGTGGACTGCAGGAGAGACCGCCCCCCCAAGAGGGACAGTGAGGTCAAGAAACTGGGGGGGGCAGTACAGCAGGAGGAGGGAGGGATTATAGCAACAGCTCAGGGGGCACAATTATGTGGCATGTCATGGTCAGGAGGGGAACTGGAGAGGGCAGGGGGTGATGGAGTGGGACACAGAAGAGGAGGTACCATGAGGAACCTCAGGCATCGAGTTAAGAGCCTAGATCCTTGTCCTCAGCAGAATGAAGTGATGGGGCACCTGAGCAGAGGGGCATGAGACAAGCTCCTGGTAAGCAGCAGACTGGCGAAGACAGTGGCATACTGGAGGACATATGGGCAGAGGGGCCAGAGGCCTGGGGTTGGGGTGGAGGCACAGGAGATGAGGGACTGTTAGAGCACAGGAGTAGTTTGGGCGGTTTTCTTCCCCGTCCTCCAAGCCTGCGATGCCTGCAAGAAAAGGCTGCCACGGTGGTCAAGGTGAAGATGCCCGGGAGCCAGAAGGACTCAGAGCCCAGTCTAGACATGCTGACGGCAGAGCCAGCCAGCTTGGGGATACGGTATTCAGAGGAGAGGATTCGCTGTCCTCACACAGAGTTCCCGCATTGCCATCCCCTCTCAGGAAGGGGACTTTGGCTCTGCCTCCCACATTCCTACTCATAAGATGCGGCCTGTGTCCCAGACACATCCAGAGCTCATGAAAATGTAGAGATGAGTAACAGGGGCCTCTGGTCACACACGCACAAGCCCCCAGTCTCAACTCATGGGGACCCTGCCACACTGCAATGATGGAGACTCTAGTGTTAGCGATGCAAGAAAAGACCACTTACCATGACAGCTGTCAAGTTAGAAAAAATAAATAGCAGTGTTCACTTGGCTCATGCTTTCTGCAGGTAACCTAGGCAGAACACCAAGGCTACAGCGGCACTGCGGCACTTAAGGGTGCGGTACTGGCCTTTTCTGATCTAACATATTCATTCTCTTCTCACTTTGTCTTACGAAAAAAAATACAGTGACAACGAGAAACTGTTGTTGTTATTTTTATGTGCCGTTGAGTCATCTGTGACTTATAGAGACCTTGTGTACAACAGCTCTGAACCCTGCTCTATCCTGAGCCAACATTATTGTCTCTGACAAACCTACCCTTATTACCCCAGACACTAAGTCAATCCATCTCATCGAGGGTCTTCCTCTTTTATGCTGTCTCCTCCACCCTTCCAACCCTGATGTCCCTTCTACCAGGACTGGTCCCTCATTGTAACATGTCCAAAGTATGTCATATGG